GGGGACGGCTGCCTTGATCCTGAAGGCAACACACGAGTGAACAGGAGTGTTTAGAAAAAAAGAATCAAGTCACACTTACTCCAACTTAATATTAATGTTCTTGCTTTTCGGAATGTTACATTCTTCCCTTTTCTGTTAAAAGACTACAGTTACGTTTGTCAAAAATCAAGGCCAGTGAGATCTTGACATCGATGTATGGAGTTTTAACAGAATTAAAGCATGCTAGGAAACTACATATTTTTTCAGTTTTCATTTCCGAGGGAGGCTCTCAGCAAATCTAAATCTGCTACTCCTCTTCTAGAAATCCCAGCTGCTTAACACATAACAGACTGAAAAGATTCAGAATAAGATAGACGCTACCTCTGGTTGTTTGTGATCGCCTTGTCCTTCATTGGAACGTTGAAGTCGACTCTGAAAGAGAAGAAACATTTCACATCAGAAAATAAAACCAGGATGCTACAAAGTGCTACAAAATTTTAGGGAATTTGGCAAGACTTTAAGACAGGGGTGTGGAACTCTAGGCCTCAAGGGCCAGTGTTCTGCAGGTTTTAAATTTCACCCTGGGTCAATACACCTGAATCAAATGATTACTTCAAGACATATTGAGTGGGTAATTTAGCCATTTCAATCAGCTGGGTTGGATCAAGGACACATCTAAAACCTGCAGGACACCGGCCCTAGAGACCTGGCGTTCCCCCACCCCTGCTTTAAGACTATACCCCTTACCCATTTGTTAGAAACCAGATGTAACTGGCAGCTGAGACAGGAGGTCTTGATTTAAATCTTTCACCATTTTTAGCTCAGTGTTTGGTCCCTTCTCCTTCCTCTATTGACTCCTGGAGTCAGCTATACACAGCTCGAGTCCCCTGATGCCAAGCAGTCAATACCATTAGCTGAGAAGCTTTCCTCTAAAATGACTTTTAGCACGCTTTATTTTTATTTCCTATGTAGAGAGGAACATACGTTTTAACCTTCAAGGTTTTAACCTTGAATCCCCCCCAAAAATCATCAGGACAGTAATAAAATTTTTTACTCATGCATGAAATTGGTCGACTTTGTTTTGTTTTTAAAGGTGGAAAAAAAAAAAGCCCATTTTGAGCCAGGAACTGAAACCGTTTTCCTTTTCATAGATGCACACTGGCAGCTTAGAGTACACGCCGTGTCCCTCGTACTCCAGCCGGTTACATAACTGCCTCTCCTTTCCCTCCCTCTGGGGACCTGATGCTCTGAGATGTGATCAGCCTGCACGCACTCGGTACCTGCCGTCATTGTTACAGCAATCCACTGTCTTAGTCTGAAAGCCATCAGTCAGCAATTCAGAGGCTCAACAGTAGGATCTTGTTCACAGGTGCCACTCATCCAAAAGCTGTGATAGTTTTCCGCTCTACTTCTGTAAATTTCTGCATTTCCCCCCCTGTTGCTCTTGAATGCAGATCTTTATACGGTTTATAGCACAGTGGACTCTAAAGCTCTTTTAGCTGCTTTACAACTAGAAATAAGCTCAATGAAGGAGTTAACAGCAGCTCAGCAGCTGATTTTCATGGGAATTTTCAGTCACTTAATAAAGACTTTTTTTTTAATGCTGTAAAGTTTGGTAGCTTAACATGTGAGGGTATTTCTCACTTTTGTACAGAGCCCCAAAAAGCACTAGTGTGTTTGACTCTCCATTTTTGCCTTCATCTTTCTGTTCGCTGGAATTTTGCAACCCTAAAACTGACATGTTTCATGCTGCTGCAGCAGGAGCCTACATGACAGAGGAAGCCGGCTGCAAGTCTCTGCTGAACACATTTCAATTCTGTCAGCCATTTCAGGTCTCTATAGCAACATAGAGCCCTTTCCCCTTTTCAATAAAGAGCCCCTCCCCCTTTTAAATTCAGGGCCAGCCTTGTTCAGTAAGGAAACACCGATTCACTGCCTCCATCTGAATCTGGGGGAAAAAAAAACCCACCACCACCATGTGTCATGCCACGACAGGCCCTGGGTGTGATCTGACGTAACCCATTGTCTAACTGTCTTAGACCGGCACAACATTCGCTCACATTTAGGATAACTCAACATGTGGTGAATTTTGACCTTTTAACACTCAGCAATACGGGTGAACCTTGTTCTAAGCCACCTGGTGTTGCATCACCAAACTGAGCGAACCAGCATGGCCCTCTGACATTTTCACACATGGTGTCAGTTTCAAAAGTGCCTTCAAGATCACTGGAGGGGGCTGCAGAAATATAAAGTGAATGACTGCCAAATTAGACTAATATAAATTTGACTTCAGTTGTGTCGAGTTAGGATGCAGGGCATCTTTTCTGCTAGAAAGATTTCACTGGAAGATAGGAATAATAATAAAATAAAACAAACAAATTGGACTGAATTGCCAGTGACCTAATCATTACCTGTTAAAGTGGATCAGTCGGCTGTTTAATAAAGTCAGAGTCTTGTTTGATTCAGTTTTCAAGCAATTAAAGTGTTTCTTTGGCTCAACCTTCATATCCCAGCTCAAAAATCACTCAACTTTTTTGGGTTGTTTTGGGCCTCCTAAACTACTGAGAATGGATGTCAAAATGTGAATCTAGATATTTGCGATAGCTATTTTTTGCAGATTATCATTAACTATGAAATTAATAATCCCTTTCATAGATAACGCCAACAATTGCTAGTTTTCCCTCTATATATGAAATAGTTCCTGGTGCTGTCTGAATCATCACCTTTAAAATCTCCTTTGAGGCCTAAGCTGAAATCTGAAGACTTCAATAACATTCATCATCAATTTTCAGGTTTTTAAACTGACAAACTCATTATTATTAGAGGGATGCTGGTGTATTTTACAGGACTGACTCGGATGCCAGTGGTTCCATCCATCCATGCAGCATCTCCGCACAGGCACGTAACATGAAAGGAAAACGTGACAACCGACGAGTTCACTTCCTGTCGTCTGCCCGTCGGACTAAACCGACTCAGACACCATTTAGCCATCACTTTAATGCCCTCACATCACTGTGTGTGAGCACCAAACAGTCTGCCACCGCAGGAAGAACAAACACGACATTTTGGAGAAGCTCATCAATAATCTCATTTCCGATTAGCCGCTACGGTGCCAGCAGAAGCTAACTGCCAGGCGATAATTAACGCTCACCTCATAACGACCCGCTTCCCCTTGATGTCCACCTTGTCCAGGGTGAGTTTGTTAGACAGAGACATTTTGCTGAGTTTAGCTGCTTCTTTCGTGCACCTTCCTTTGCTGGATCTCCTCCGCCTCCTTCGGCTGTTGGTTAGCTACCGAATGACAGCGGTGACCTTAGCGCAGCGGAGGAACACCACCGCGGGCAGGGCAAATCGCACACCCGCCGCTGCTGATTGGCTAATGCATTAGGAGAGCTTCCACGCTGATTGGATCGGTTTGCTGTTTATCTTCTGATGCTTCCTGATTACTGCATCAGCTGAACTTAGTGGATGTCATTCAACCCCCCTCCCCTCCTGCATACTTTAGAAGATATAGCAAAGGCCAGGGACGGATCTACAGTCATGGCATTGGGTGGCATGTGCCGCCATATAATAATCTTTTGTCACCCCAGTCAGTCAGTCATCTGCAAAACTAGGGTGGCACTAAGGGGGACAAGAAATTATTTTAGGGTTCCACATGCCACCCTATGCCACCCCTGTAGATCGGCCCCTGCCTATATGCTCTTTTTAAATTTTATTGATAGCCACTAAAACCATAGTTATGATTAAAATAAACTATATATACTGATGCTTTTTTTCCTGAATACTGTCATCACGTTTAGTGCAGGAAAAAAATGGTAAAAACGTCATTTTCAAATGACAGCATAAAAAAAGGAAAAAAATGCTACCACGAAAAATGTACTGTCGACCAATAAAAAAATGATATGGCAGCACATGAGGTTTGTGTGACTAATGCGAGAGAGAGAGCGAGTTTTGAAATGTGAGAGATTTGTGAAGTTTAGCATTTTGTGGTGTAGTTAGTGTGTAGCATTGTCTAGTATAGTCAGTGTGTAGTGTAGTCATTGTTTGGTTTTGTGTGTTAAAAAAATGAAGGTACTATTGAATGTCAAAGTAGGCAACGCTGTCTCTAAGTGGAAAAAAGGAGGAGCAATACACCTCCCATTGTTAGACGTGCAGGTTTTAGGCCTGTGGTGTTCTCATGTAATGTAACAAACCTCAAGTTACAATTTTATTTTTTCTATTAAAAAAAAAAGAGTGTGATGCTTGAGTTAGATTTGTGTGTTAGACTATATTTAAATGAAATGTGTATACTTTGATGTATTTTAACCATATATAATACATATTACAGAAAGTAACAGCTGCATATGTGTAAAAAAAAACTAAGGACATTTCTCTAGATCTACCCCTGGCAAAAGCATCAAGGATATTATTTTTGCAAAAATAAGCACATGAAGGAAAAATATAATTAGGTTAATAATAAGGAAAGTAATATCTGTAAGGTAAAAACTGTCAATACCGATTAATACTTTTGAATAAATGAATGAAATTCATAATACATTTTAAAAACATACCAGTAACTAAAACTTAAGAAATCTTTTAACAGATTATTTATTGTATACACATCCTTGGATGAATATATTTGATGTACTGAGTACATTAGTTAGAAAATGTGTCACCACTTTGCAGAGGTCCCAAAAAATTGAACACACATTGAACACAAATGGATGGAATAATGAAGGATGACCTCCAAATTCTTCAACTTCATCTCAAGTCAACTACATGGGTTGGTACCAGTGAGTGTACTAAAAATCTGACTACATTGGTATTCAAAGCTTTCCAGGTTATTTTTGTTTTTCAGGCCTGTATTTCTCATGATCACACAAACCTTGTAATTTTATATTACCATATTGCTCCCTTCAAATGTCTTAAGCCTCTGTTAAAAAGCCTAATAAAAACACACGGCAGGTAGTAAAATCTGTATTATTTAAATGTTTTAATGCCCTTCAGCAACTCACTTTTCCTCAGTTCAAAACAGTTCTGTCTGATATCAAGCCAACTAATAACTTTATTCAAACAGATGGAGTCAGTAGAATCACACTTAATTTATTTGGACAAAGAAACATGTTGGAATAAAGAAGAGCATTTGCTGTCTGAACACGCAGATATTTTATTCATCTGTACAAACAGAAGGGTTGGATGGAAGGTAGCTCTGTCATGGCACCTCTTCACTCCTCTCTCCACGGTTTGGGCTGGATCTTCCCGACAGGTGACAGATTCCAGGTGATGCCAGTCGAAGTTAGCACCTGAAGCAAGAGAAGTCAAATTTATTTTTTCAGTATTGCCTGGTGAAAATGAGAAAACAGACAAGTTTGGAAATATGAAACCAATTTTTAAAAAAACTGAAAAATTTGCATATCAGTGGAAAATGCGACTGTGCAGTTATCAAACTTTGTTTTTAATTACTTTTTACTTTTGCCATTTAATAAAAACACCAATAGAGAAAAAAATGGTTATTCTGTAGAATTTCATTTTGAAACAAACGTCTCAATTCAGTAGGGAGTCTATATTCAGTCCCCAAAACCTTGGCAATTGCTTTATTTAAATCATTTATTCTGTTTTAAACTGAATTAAACCAAAGTATAGTTTTAACAAATGTGATCTCAGTATCGACCAAACTAACCGCAGTGTTTTTTTGTTATCTTTAAAAATAGATTATTCCTCCTCCCCCCACACCAAACATCCAACCACACTGACTATATTATCAATGTTAAGGTCTGTTCAGGTCATGCTCATAACTGAATGTGATGCGATCAAACTTACGTATCCCCACACGGCTGTGCAGAAGATGGCTCCACTGACCAACACACCAGCACCGTACTTTGAGTGGAAATTCTGGTTCTGGGGGAGGTTGGATCCATGCCTCACCTGCCGCATGGCCTGGCCTACATGACAAGAAGAAACAGTCCTCATGTTAATGACTGAGCTGTCAGAATGAAAAGAGA